TGTGTGTGTGTGTGTGTGTGTGTGTGTGTGTGTGTGTGTGTGTGTGTGTGTGTGTGTGTGTGTGTGTGTGACAGAGAGAGAGAGACGGAACGAGCGATCCAGCTGCATCACTGGGCACGTCTTCAACACGCTTACAGCTCGTCTTCAGTGTCACGCTTGCTTCTGTCTTGCATGTAAAGAGTTGCACAACATGTTCTTTTCATGTTGGAAAAATCTACATTTTTCTCCCATGATTCCTCCCTTGGAAACAGAAAATTATTGATGAGATGTGTCATTACCAATTGGGACCAACTCACACGACCAACACCGACACATAATTGTCAGTGATGAGATGAAGCTATTGGCTTTGAAATAGGAGCACGGCGACGGGCAGGAGCTTATTTTTTTGTGCCATTACATTTATAATGTGTCTGAATCACTGGATTGTACGTGCCATCTACTGTACTGTTTTACCCACTGTGCTGCTGTTTTTGTAAAGTCCAGCTGAAATGTTTCTGCAGCCAAAGTTCAGTTTTTTGTTATTCCAACTTTATCTGCAGACTAGAATCTGAAGGATTTCTGCAGTTTGTTGTCAGATTATTTTGATGCAGATCGAGTCTTCTAATCAGGAGGTGACGTTGAATTATAACGGGAAAAAGAAGCTTCTGTGTCCTCTTCTCTTTGCCAAATTGAATATTTTGCCAAGCTAATTTTACATGAGATTTGAAGCTATTTAAAATGAAACAGCTGACCGGCTAACTCAGAACACAGGATGTGCTTGAATTTTTACTGACAGAGAAAAGAAAAGAGTAAAAAAGTAGTGTAGTGTTCCCAACTTTGTGTCATAGCCTGTTACATGATATCAGCGACGGGCTCGGTCACTCAGACCCGTCAATAAACCTGGAAACCTCACAGGAATAACGTTGGTGAGGGGTGGTGCAGTTGGAGAACTACATCCTGCACTGACAACCTTGTGATTGCTTTAGTTAATGCGGTCCCCCGTAGTTTTTTTTTGTTGTTGTTGTGAAATGCCAAGTTGCAAACGATCCCTAACTAACCACTGAGTGATAGTAAAACTATCAGGAGTGCGACACAAACCCGAGAAACCAAGAGAAACTTCAAAGTAAAAATTGTATTTTTTCAATGAAATGCACAGCTTGTACTCTGACACCTGATGTTCTCTGTTTCAGGTCAACCAGAAACCTGATAGTTTCATGATTAGTTAGTGAGTGTTTGCAGACTAGTCTTCCATATGAACTACAGGTGACCATGGCAATCTTCTAGCAACCAAAGAAATGACAGGGTAGTTTTCAGTGCAGCACTCTTTGTGATTAACGTCACTGAGGGACAGCAGTCACCCACCACCAAGCACTCTCCAACCAGTTGGGGAATACTCATTCCTCCTTACCCGACGAGCCTGCAGGCCTGTGAGACTGGAGACGAATTAATGATGTAGTGAAATCGGAGCATGAGGTCACTGGATATCAAGCGCAATTACATTAACTTCCTGTCCAGCAATATTTGGTGTTACATTTGTTTGTAAGGCTGTTTACATCCACCAAACAAAGTTACAGGTCAAAGTCTGACACAAAAGGCTTTTTTTGTTTTGTTTTATCTGTTAGTGGCACAAAAGAGCTTCGGTACATTGATGTCACAACTGGTAGTAGGGACTCAAGAGCAGAGCGGTTTGACGTCTCCAAAAACAGTTTATTTACAACACCGGTGCACGATATATACAGTGAAGGGAAAAAATCCAACTCCAGGGAATCACGGGGAAGCTCTCTCACACTCGCTCTCGTCTTCTCGCCCAAACTCACACACGCTCACACGGTAGGGAGGTCACAGGTCCAGGAAGGAAAGTCTGTGGTAGAGGAAAGGGAGTCACTCACAAATCACGAAATACTAAGCAGATAAGCTGGGAGAATCACTAACGTCCGTAGTACAATCATCCAGCGACGAGAAGATCTGTGCTCCAGCCTCAAATAGTGCTTCAGGTGATGACAGCTGATTGTTGTCAGGTGTGTGGGCCAAGGGCCCACAGTGAGCTCCGCCCAGGCAGAGAGAGAGAGAAAACAAAACAAACACATGCAGCAATGCGGAGCCGGCCGGCAGGCACGGAGACCGTGACAGTTGAGGCTTCATAAAGTCAAGATGGTTAGTTTTTTTCCCACCAATGCACATTTATTTGCACTTTGCTCAGATGCATTTAGAAAAGTAACAGAGCCGTGAAAGTGCAGCATCAAGAATTAAATACAGTGTGACTGAATATTTAAAAAAAATCTAAATATTTTGATGAGGAAGATTATAAGAAATCTGATTTTCTCAAAAGATGATGTCCATTCAGTCTTAAAGTGTGGTTGAGGATGTCATCACATGGAAATCAGTGCTGACATCTTGTGCCGGTGGTTTGTTAGTCTTTACAGTGGGGACGCTAACCCTGCACCCAGTTCAGATCTTGATACCAAGCTAAGAGCACAACCAGTCTAGTCAAAAATATCTGACGTGTATCAAACTGAATAACTTGGTTACAAATGGGTTTTCTTTAAAATCACAAGAATACAGCGAGCGTCCGAATCGGTAAATCTGTTGACAGCTACATGTTCAAGTTGTAAACATCCAACAGCAGCAAACTGGAATGCAGCCGTCAAACCAGAATGCTTCTCCTGAACTTTCCACAACTGATCCGTGTGCTGCAGAAAGATATTTATTTCAGTTGGACTTTATTCATTTTCTGTTTGTTTTTAATGATGCTCTGTCCAACATTTCCAATCAGTAAAGTATGATGAAATACATTTGTCATGTTGTTATGACATGTAGCATTGGACATGATGGATAAGTCCTACTGCTTCAGTTTAGTTTAGTTTTTGGTTATTTGAACGCTTTGGTCAGTTATGCTCAGAAGCATCCGTGTTTAACGTTATGTTGGAGCTGCCTGCAGGCTGATCACGATGTTTGCATCCTTCCCTGTAGCGCAGGAGAACAAAACAAGTACCAAGGTGCAGCGTTATCGCTTGTAGCAGCATCGCGCTGTAGTTTTGTTTTTGAGCATTCTCTACAAATTTTCATCTCTACCTGCATTTAGAGGGGAGGGGAAGGCAAGCGGAAAAGATTTCAAGCGGATCTCGTGTAATTTCCACTGCAAATACGGCAAACATGGGAGGTGGGTCACGAGTGACGGTGTATGTGACGGCCGTTTGACGAGTCCAGACGGTGCCGTGAAGAGCCCTGCTCCCTGTCCACTCCCACCCACACCACCTCTATTGCCGTGTTGTTGATTGTGGTAAATGCTAGTGCCTTTGCTGTATTGTGAAACTGGATATTGATTGTACTGTTGTACCGACAGGGCCTGGGGATAGTCAGGCGCTCTATTTATTATTGTTGACTCAAATCGATCATATTTTTCTATGTAAGTGCTTTAAATAAATTTGCCCTTTTTATCACTTGGTCTGTATTTAGTTTTTCAGCATTCTTGACAAACACGACTCCGCTCTGCGTGAGGATGCAAATACTCCTCAAGCTCGCTAAAGTAGCATTAAATGAACAAACGCTGCAGCATTTGGATCCAAGGATGTCTTGGGAACCTCAGGAATTCAGAATATTTGCCAAGGTCAGTGGTTTTAAGCCGGCTGAATCTTCCATGTGTGTAATTGGCCTAGTGAAAATTCCAAATACAAACCAAATTGTTTTGGATGAATAGGTCCCCTGATGGCTCTCATCCCTTTTAATGCAAATTACAATACAGTAATTGGATTCAGAACTTTGCCTGCAGTTTGTTCAGAAGTGAATCATTTCTTAACAAATTGGGGTGAGAGAGTAGAAAAGCAAATGAATACACATTTAGAAAAGCATTTAT